ATATCTGGCTCCTTGCTGATGTGCTTGGGAAAGCAGGAGAAGATGGACCAAGTGCTTGAACTCCTGCCACCATGGAGACTTGGACAGTGTTCCAGGCTCCTGACTTCAGTCTGCCCCAGCCTGGGCCTTTGTGTTTATTTGGAAGTGAACCAGCAGACGGAATCTCTCTCTCTGTGTTTGCATGTGTGTGGGTTTCACTGCCTCTTTCTGTGTCACTCTCCCTGTCAAATAAACATAAAAACATGCATGATGGAGCAAGCATTTGATCTAGCAGTTAACATATGAGCTGCCTGAATCTCACATCAGAATAACTGGGTTTGAGAGGCAACTAAACTTCTGAATCTAGTTTCCCACCAATGCTGACACTGGAAGGCAGAGGTGATGGCTCAAGTAATTAAATTCTTGGCATCCCCATGAGATACCTGAATTGCAATTCCAGCTCCTTGTTCCAGCTCTGAGCAGTGCTGGCCACTGCAGGAATGCAGGAGAATGAATCAGCTAAAGGGAATTTATTGACTCTCTGTTACATAAATAAGGTGTTTGTAAGTGCAGAGAAGGTATTTAATGCATTGGTGAAGACATGAGGTATCCAAACCACAGTGCCTGGGACTGTGTCTCAGCTCCGTGATTGAAGCTGATCGCGTGATGTGTCTGTCAATTTCAGGCTCTTACTTTAATTTTGTTCAGGCCCTGACTTTTGCCAGCATTTGGGGAGTGAACCAGCAGGATAAACAACTCTGTTTCTCTCTTTCTCATTCTTTTCTCTCTTGTTCTCACACATTCTCACTTCAATTATTCTCTTCATCATTATGAAAGTATTTAGTAAATGTGCATTCATTTCCCCTCAGATGTTGACATGTCTCTTTCTCATTTGTTGGTCTTACATATATATCCCAAGCAGAGAATTAATGATATTTTCAATACTTCAAAATCATTTTAACCTTTTTGCCCTTCCTGTATTTTCTATACAATGGTTTCCTAGTGGCCGTTGTTAGAAAATATGTATGTAATAAATGTTTTTTAGAAGGATCTTTATAAAACGTTCATCAGGATAAGCCATGTTAACCTAACTTGAACTTGTTTATATCCTAAGAATATGTATAGTAATGCCATTTTAGGCTATTACTGCATTTTAAGAAATAAGGTGATATTAAGAATTGTAATATTGCTAAGCGATAAAATAGGAATATTGAAGATATTTGACCTGTGAAAAATCTTTGTGTGGATACAAGACTGCTAAAAAGAAAACATAGCCTAAAATTTTATGGAATCTCTTATGTACAAAATGAGTTATTTGAACACTATCAGTGTGCCAGTGCCTCTTGGATGCTTTGATATCTAGAGTCCACCTGCTGAAAATGTTTGTCTACAAAGTAAAGAAGTCATAACTCAAGCATAAATCTTGTTCCCAATAGGATGTTAAAAAATCTGGCATTGATACAGTTTGGCTAGTTGATAACTGAACAACTAATTTATTTAATTTTATTGAAGGTTGCCTGTGTTATTCTGCCTTAAAATTTTTTATTTACTAAACTTTGAGTCTGAGTTCAAATTGATAAAATAAAAATAAAAATCTAGGGTAGAAAGAACTTCCCAGGTCTTCACAATTTATTTTTTTCAGAGGCACTGGCCTGTAAAAGGGCAAATTAGGAAATATTTCCCTCAAACCAAGCCCAGTTTGATGCACTACTGACAATGATCTAGTCCCTCCTGTGCTCTAGAATGGTCCATCAAGGGTTGGCTGCTCAGGCTTATGGGGTGGGGTGTGAGGGTGCCCCATAAATTGTGGGTGTCTCATTGAGGTTTCTGGCGAAAACCCTGTGAAATCTATGTGGGATACCTCTGGATTCGGTATCTGCCAGGGTTTTGGAGAGAACTCTGTTCTTTTTTTTTTTTTTTTTTCTGAATCTTCATCTGAAATTTTTCCCCAATTTTTTAAAATTATTGCTTTTTTTTTTTTTCTGTATTTGGGATGAAGGGAGACGTAAAGGGAGAAGCCCCACCCAGCCTCCCACTCATCCCAGGTCCCCGATGTGGGGCATGCTCCAAGGGTCCTGCTCAAGTTCACCTGAAATTTCTATAAAAGTTTTGGTATTGCATTATTTTTAACATATTGTTTACCCAATACTATGTCAATTAATTCCATAATGTTGTATATTGATACTGAGGCCTTGTTGGGGCTTTTAACCGACCGGATCTTTACTCTGTTAGACCTATCTTCAGACCATAGAAGGTCTCCCCAGGAGGCCACTGAACTTATCTGGACAATAAGACGCTGAACTTTATGCTAGGCATGTGTTTGCAAGCAATGAATCTCAACTGAACTTGAACTATGGTTATGCAGCAAGGTGGAGGAATCCACCATGGGGGGAGGGATATGGGGAGGGGTGGGGGGAATCCCCAGCGCCTATAAAACTGTACTACATAATACAGTGTAAGCAACAATAAAAAAAAAAAAGTTTTGGTAAACTCTGAGGGGGAAGTCACTGTGAAATCTGAGAAAAATTCCTGAATGAGGTTTCTAAGGCAACATAAGGCTCCATAGGAGAGGGCTGTGGCAGGTGCCTTGGTGAAATCTGCACTAGATTTCTATGTGTAGAATATGGGACAACATGAAATCCCTGTGTATAGTTGCTGTGAGAGAATTTGTGTTTTCCCCACAGAGTTTCTCAACGAGCCCTCACAGACATCACCCAGTATGGATGCAAATAGACCTTTCGCTTTTTCCCATACAGAGATCTGTCTCAGATTTCACACAGACTTTCATAGTTCTTAGAACACAGGGACCTACCTGAGAGCTCACGCGTAAACTCACAAGACCTTGTGTGAAAAACGCACACTCATCAGACAGCAACTTTATCAAACGATTCTAAACAAAACAACAAAAATAGCACACAGGCTTTCTCTGCTTCACAGAATCCACCGATGTGGACCCCTTGTGTCTTCTCTCGGAGACCCAAACTGTGCCCTCTCACTCCACAACGAGACCCTGAAGGGACCCCACTGAAATCCTTAGGGAAGTGGGAGATTTTTGTTGTCTCTGGAGTTCCCTGCTCCTCTACTGAGACTCGCTGTGTTTGGTCTCCGTGGTAGGCCTGTGGGTGAATTCTTCATGGAAAGTCTGTTAGAAACTCTGTGGAGATTTCTGTGTGCAACGTCTGAGGCAATTCTGCAAGAGAGGTTTCTGAGGTCCGTGAGAGAGGAGTCCTCAGGATCTTGTGGATTATGCTCTCCATATGACAGAGCGAGACAAACTCTCTGGAGAAAGGACTTCCTCTACTTTTTAGGGGTCCTTTTGTCATTCCATATGACTAAGTGCCCAGGGAAGAGGAAAAAATCTATGATAAAAATACAGTGAGCACATAGTAGGGACCATGCCTGCACTTCTCACCACCTCTGACCCCATGTGTACAGATTGTGTTGCCTGCCTCTTCTGATGTTAGCACATGAGATAAACAAGCACTGGGGGTCAAGCAAGACTTTCCATATGATCCAAGGCATGTCCTTGGTTACTTTCATGTCCTGTAGGAAGAATTCTGAAACCACATGTACATACAAAAGTCACCAGAGTATGAGTCATGTAAGAGTCCCCCAGTACTGGGCCCGGCGCGGTGGCGCAAGTGGATCCCGCGCCTTGCACACCCGGGATCCCATATGGGCTGCCGGTTCTATCCCGGCAGCCCCCCACTTCCCTTCCAGCTCCCTGCCTGTGGCCCGGGAAAGCAGTCAAGGACGGCCCAAAGCTTTGGGACCCTGCACCCGCGTGGGAGACCCGGAAGAGGCTCCTGGCTTCGGATTGGCATAGCATCGACCGTAGCACTCACTTGGGGAGTGAATCATCGGACGAAAGATCTTCCTCTCTGTCTCTCCTCTCTGTATATCTGCCTTTCCAATAAAAAAATAAAAAATAAAAAAAAAACAAGAGTCCCCCAGTACTAAAATTTCCATCTATTATTAAGCCATCTTTTCTAGAACTCAAAAGGTAACAATGTGAAGGATTATCAAATAAATTGTTAAACATTCTTCCCTAGTTCAGTTTACATGATCTTGAGTCTGGAATTCAGTGTTGGCCTATAAGTGGTTTCTCCAGGCACGTGGTCCAGGACAACAGCAGGTGAAATCCAGTGTGTGATCAGGATGGATCATCCATCCTTGAACATCCCATGTCTTCTAAACCTGGAGATGGTGGACGAAAGTCAGAGGTGTCCTATGCACTGTGCTGCTGTGACACTGTGATGGCCACATGCTTCCTCCCTTGGTTCTAATTTGACGATTCCTTCCTTAAACCCACTTTTGGTTCAGTGTCTTTCAAGGCACTATACCAGAGTTACATGCCATTCATACTCATCCACAACCCTCTCTGTGAAGCTGGGGCAGATGCAGAAGAGATAAAAACTAGACCAATATGGGTATGCATGAGAAGACCCATTCATTTATTTGGGAAAGTGAGGAAAGAGTTCTCAGTAAACTGAAAACTGCAACCTGCAGATGCATAGAAATCCAGAGCACTGTTCTCACTGTTCAGGGGTGTGATCAAGACAAAAGCAGTAGCAAGACCCTCTATTTTTTTAAGCCTGAAATAAGAGTGTCCCTCATTCCCATCATAGCCTTTCTCAGGAAGTGAAGGGGCTGTCCAAAAGCAGAGATCTATTCTCCGTCAGAAGATCCAAGGTCAAGATTTTTCCTGCTTGGCATACTCCCACTGTGTGAAGTGGACCCACTTGGCTCTGACGCTTCCAAGCCCGTGTGTGAATATTTAGGCCTGTGATGCCTCTGTGCCAAGGACTAGAAAAATGAGTTTAACCAGATATTGAGGGCAGATATTCAGTTTCTTCTCATGTTTAGTTTATTCTTTGAGTAACCATATCATCATGGAATCACAAGGTTCAATGAGTGATCTCAGAATGGGTGTGGGCGTTGTCACCATTGTCAGCCTCCCACCTTCCCCCATCACTTGAAGACCACGAAAAGCACACCAAACATCACACAAGATAGGAGCCATTACTCTGTTATATAAAGAAAATGCAGGTGTTATGGTACATTAAATATCCTGAATATATGGACAGGAGAAAATTTATTTTTCTCTATATGGGCTGAATTTTCTTTGGGGATGTGTTTTCCTAATAGGGAAAGCTGGAGGATATTTTCCTGGTTGGCCAGACAACACACCTCCTAGAAGAGGACAATGCCTTGGGCAATGGGGATGGTGGCCTGAGATATGTGGCATTGCTGGCCCATGAGGAGAGGGACTGACTGCGGGGGATGCAGTCTTGCTGGGGGGAGAGAGGTGAGGATGCCTCAAGCATTGGCCCTCCTTGCTGAATTGCGTACTTTTCAGAGAATGCTGGTCTCTCATTTGTTTTTGCCTCACGGAACAGTTCTGGCACTTCGGGGTGGCCTGGTGGGCGCGCGCTGCATGGCTTGGCCTTCTCTTCTGCTCTGCTGGGCAGGGGGGCTTGTGGTAGTAGGAGCCCCGAGATACTGGGATTTGGAGTTCTTCCCTGTGCTGACTGATCTTAGAGGCACAAAGGTCATCTTTAAGTATCACGTCCTTCTCCAAAATCTCTCCAACAATGGTCACGGGCTCCTCAGCTTCAGCTATGGTACTGTCCGTATGTGATTGGTTATTGACTGATTGTTGGCTCTGGGCACTGGCTGATTTTTGCAAAGCATCTTCCTGCTCTGGGATTTTTTTCTTGGGGAAAATCAGCTGAACAAATTGCCTTATAGATTGTTTGAAGACTTCTGAAGGAACATCTTTGTTTTCTGACAGGAGCTGAGTGCTTCCACTCACATGGGTATCTTCCATGTCCATCACCTCGGGGAGTTTTGAAATCCTTAATTCTGGAAATTGGTCTTCATGCTTTTCTGGGTTGAGCTTCCTATAGACCTCGCTCTTATAAGTAGTAGCACACATCTCATTTTGGCTCTTCCGAGAGTCTTGATGTTTTGGGACCCTGGACTTTTGTTGCTCCACACTGCCCGCTCTCACTACCATGGAATCACTTCGAATCTGGGCAGTAAATATGTCCCCAACAGGCACATTCTGGAATGTCTGTGAAGTCAGACATTCTGCAGCAAGGAGTGTGCCAGCAGAACAGTCTGGAAGGAGTTCATCAGTGGCATAAGCTTGAGGCTGCTTTGCTGATCTTCTCTTTCCTCTGTGTTTGTCCTCACAAACAGCCTCTGCTTTAAAAAGGTGTTCTCTCGCATCTTTGGAAACAGACGTTTGAGGAAGGAAAGGGCCATCACAGCTATCTTTTCCTTTGCCACAGACAGTCCCACTCTGGTGCATTCTCCCTTTGGTGCTGCAGGTGAGGGTCTGAGAGAGCTGCTTGCTTTCCCGCCCACTTGGATATGTCTCAGAAGACATGTGGCCATCAGGGGATGGAACCCTTTCCATGTAAGTAGGGGAAGGGAAAACAGTAAAACCTGGCGATGTGGTAATAGATTCATTTGTTATCAACTTCTCTTTTGGACATGTCTGTGGTGGTTTTCCCAGTATCTTGGCAAGTTCAACTGTCGAACTGGTCCTAGATTCACAAGGAGTTGAGGTGGGACTGGAAAACTGTGGAAGAGATGCATGTTGAACATTTTGCAACTTAAAGGAATTTAAGGGTTTGAGGACCCTGAGGGGTAGTCCCCATTTGTGCTTTATCCAACTCTTAATAATATGAGCATCCAGCACCTGTTGAATGAGTGGACTGAGGAAGGACAGCTCCTGGGAAGTGCTCACACAAGTTTCCAAACTTCTTGACAGATCTAAAGTTCTGTTTTCTAGGTTATTGTCTGACACAGAAAAAGGGCTGTTGGCACAAGGACCAGATTGGTACACCCCCAAAGAAGCTGTCTTCTCGTTGATCTGCCCCGACATTGTGCCGAAATGGGCACTGGGAACATTTTCAGAATGGTTCATTTCTAGGCTTCTTGATACATCATTTCTACAGTCAGGGATCCAGTTTCTGGTACAATGTGCTTGTGACTCCTCAAAGGGAACTCTCAGGATCTTTCCTGGCAAATCTTGCCAACACCTGGATGCACCTTGTGGGACCTTCCCTAGGATATGCCCTAAGTTCTTGCTTGAATTCTTCCCTAGCTGGAACCTCACCTTCTGCAAATTCTTGCTGCATTCACCCATAATTACTGAGGCTCCTGTACATCTGAATTTTTCCTTTGTCTGACATGTTTCTGCTAATTTATCCTGAAACTGTATTAGTTCCATAGACTCTTGTATATACCGAGGCAAGTCCCAGCGGTGCTCTATCAGCCACTTCTGAATGTGTTGTTCCACTTGCTTCCGGAGCTCGTGGCTGATAGGAAAATTCTCAGGAAGAATGGATTCTGCCCAGCTGTTTTGGGAAAGTTTGGGATTGATGAAAGTACAGTCTTCTTGGGATTTTTGGTCCTCAAAGGGCAAAGTCTGCCCACTTCTTAACTTTTGTTCCAGCAATAACCATTCTGAATCCTGAATTCCAGTTTGGTTGACAAAGCATGACTTATTCTGTATTGTAGCACAAGGTGCTCCACAACTGCTAACCTGAGATGTAGAAGAAGCTAATATAGTAGACAACGGTGATGGGAGGTGGGTCTGAGGCTGGATCTCACTCGGAATTGGAGGTTGATACTGGGGAATGGGTGGAATAAGAGATTGGAGATGGGGTTTCATATGGGACAAGGGATGGGCCTGTGGAAGCCGGGGGGACACTTTGGCATGCATTTGAGCTGGACAGACATCCACAACTGCATTAAATAAGAACAGGGGGGGTTGCAGTGTGCAAGAGTTTCCAGATATACAGGCAGCAGCCACTAAGGATTCACTGTGTAGAGAAGGCAGACCCCAGAAAAGCTGCTTATATTTCTCCTGACTATGATCCCCTAAGACTACAGGAGTTGAGAGCTGCTGAGGACAGAGCAAATGTTCTAACTTTTCTTTTGCCTTCCATAAATGCAGAGGTGCTGTAGTGTCCCGTTCAGTACCTAGTGATGCTACCGTATTTCCCACAGAATCCAAATTATAGTCTGGGTTCTTCTGTTCTGAGAATGAGCCATCGTTTTCTGTTTCTTCCCATGCCTTGACCTTAGTTTCCTTTGTGATTTGTAGCCTTAGGAACTTTTGGTCATCACAGTTGAGCCAAGAGGGGTCATTAGCCACTACCTGCCTATCTGGGGATTCTGTCCAGAATGAAGCCGCAGGTGCCTCGTAGGGAAGGGGCTCTTTCTGGTCCTTAAGCTCGATAGAAGGGCACATGATTCTGGCAGCCACTTGCCACCAAGAAAAGCCTGATATGGGATAGCCTGAGTGGCTGAGGACTGAGATGACTGGGAGAGAGGATGCTGACCAGTGCTTGTGCACACTGTGTGTGACAGAGCTTAGTGGCAGTGCCACTGAGCGACACCGAGAAAGCGTCAGAATGGAGTCTGGCATTGGTGGAGCGGAGAAGGAAGTTGGAGGCAAAGCATGACCCATGGAATCAGGGGGGCTTAGTGGGGGAAGGGAAAGTGTAAGTGGACGGGATGAATTGCATTCTAGTGGAAACAAAGGCTCTGGTGGCTGAGGGGAAGTCACAGACAGGTATGAAGAAGCAGAAGCTAAGGAGGTGGTTGGACCTGGTGACAGGGTAGAGGCCAGATGCACAGGGTGTTCAGACAGAGAAGCTGGGGAATTTGACGGAGACAGGACGAGTGTGGCATCTGCCACAGGTTCTCCACACGTCCAGAGGACTCCAGCAGGTGCCTTTTTGCACACCCCATCTAGGTGGTCTTGATTTAAGAGTTGGTAAGAGTTGCCTTCATCAGAGAGCTTCCCCAAGTTTCTGCAGGAGACAGGAGGTATAAGCTGGGGCAAGCAGCAGACAAGATCCAGGATCCAACCAGAGGTGGGGATGCTATGGTTACAAACGTTCCATTGCCCCACACCCTGACTTCACAATTCTGTTTCCCTTTATCGCAGGGATTTGGTCCCATCCCTCCATGGTACCTCCCCCCCCGCCCCCCGCAATCTGTATATCATAGACCCTGATGGGAAGGATACTGGATCGAAGAAGGAAGATCCTACTTGTTTAGAAGTGAAATCAGGTTTCGAACCTCCTCCAGGTCTTCCAGGCAATCCCCGCAGGCTGGAAATCAGGACATTGAGTTATGGTGGAGAAGGGAGGATCCTGGGGATCTTGAAGGAGGCCACGTGGAATGCAACTTTTGGGAGGACTATAGGGGATTAGATTATGCAGCCCAAGCATCAGTGTCTAATTACACGAACCTGACAGTGACCGGAAGGTGCATGGAGAGGCAACACTTTGTTTTCTGCAAAGTTCTTTCTCAGTCATCATTTTGCATGGGCCTCTCTGCAGCCCCGAGGAGGAGAAATGAGGTGGCCATCTCCTAGGGGAACTGGCCTCAGCAGATTGAAAGGGCTAACTCATAGCTGGAGCTGGATGTCCTACGGCCAAATCCAGGCAGTGTTGGTGGCTCTATGGCCAACAGTGCCCCCTGCCTGGCAGGAACCTGAGAACTTACCCCCAAATTCTCATTTTCCCTGGAGCCTCTCCTTCAGGCCTCTGACACTGATGGCTACAAGCTGTGACTCTGATGCCTCAGGAATTAGCAACATCAGATCACCTGTGGGAGCTCTAGATGGTAAGAGCCATACCTTTCACAGCCGTGCTCTTCTTTCCTCTCCTGCTCCTCCTCTGCACTTGATGCTAGAGACAAGGAAGAAAGCAACTGTGATTTAATTCTCTATCCTGCCCCAGACCAGCTGCTGGCATTCAGTGTCCATGCAGGCGACTTTCTCCATATAGCCAAGGAAACTGTGTCCTTCTCTTTGAGTGACTCCTTTTTAAAGTGGATAAAGTATTCCCATTTTTTTTTCTTTGAAAAGCACACAAGGGATTTGCTCCCATGATTCACCATGGATGTCGCTTGTTCTTTATTCCTGTGCTGCAGAAGCACAGTTGCTTCTGCGGTACATTTGAGCTTCCACACAGGGTCTTACTGTCCAAGGTTAAAGGTCACTCCAGCCTCTGAGTTCTCAGGGCTCAGCTGACACCAAAAGAATGTTTGACCCTGAGGAACCTGCCACAAGAAGGTCCCCAATAAACTAGTGCTCAGGGCCCAGTCTCCCCAAGATAGTCTATCCCATTCACCCAGCCCTCAGTGGCTGAGTCATGGCATTTAAGTTTGCCCTGGTGCCTTCCAGCACATCAGGGCATGGTCTTATAGATTTGGATCGAAATCTTAGTGCCCACCGTAACCCCCTCCCCTTTCACGCCTTTCCCTAGAAGTATGATGCCATATTGCTTCCTGATATTTCCCTGCCCCTGCTCTCTATTCAATTTGGAAAAGTGGAAATAGTAACAGAAAAAAGGGAACCGTTTTGTGTTGGATCTGGTCCGCGGTCTCTTTACCTTCCTGATGACTCCCTTCCTGTTGGGAGATGGTGAGGCTGGATTGCTCTGCAGACACAGGAGTAACAGCAGGAAAAGCCCCACTCCACACAGGATGGGCAGGATGAGGTTTGCCACCCAGAAGGTGAAGTTGGGGCTCAGCCACATGGCACTCACAGTTTTCAGTAGAAGGAGGTGGTTTTTCATAATATAACTTAGTGTGTTACCCTCAGGCCACTGAACCCTGGGAGTTCCTTTTGGCAGAATGGACTGGGGCCCAGGCCTACATCACAGAGCTACTGCTTCCTTGTCACAAAGGGCTCTGAGGGTGGGGGAGGGGATGACAGAGAAGGCAGAGCCATGGCCTCCTGTCACCATCGGGTCAGCATTTTCCTCCACCTGTCTGGATCTTCTAGAGCCTTCCAGCACCATCCTTATGATGTTATAAATGGCCCTTAGTCAATTTCCTACTCAGCTCCCCAAACACAGACATTTCCCACCTTCCTTCCTTCCTTCCTTTCCCACCTTCCTTCCTTCCTTTCTTTCTTTCTTTCTTTCTTTCTTTCTTTCTTTCTTTCTTTCTTTCTTTCTTCCTTCCTTCCTTCCTTCCTTCCTTCCTTCCTTCCTTCCTTCCTTCTTTCTTTCTTTCTTTCCTTCCTTCCTTCCTTCCTTAGTGATCTTGCCCTGAAGTATACCAATTTTACAATAAAAGTATTAACACTGCAATTTTAATTATTTTTCAGAAACACTTACTTTCAGCATCTATTTTGTCCTCA